AAGAGATCACAAACAAGATACATAACCCACTAGTTTGTAAGTAACAGTAGGTATATTTAATAAAGGTGAGGGTGAGTTTAACAATTAACTACCACGATGCGTTTCGATCTTATTAAAGATCTTATCATAGTGGTACAATGATCTGCATATAGATTTAAAATTTATCAAATTGAGTTGAATGGATATCGAAAAATCTCTATCCTCCGATGTCAATTTGACCTTTCTAAATCAAAAGCAGCAGATAGTCAATGTTCACTACGGTCAGTTTAACAATTAACTACCACACTGAAAAAAATAACCGAATGCTCAAAAAACCCCTAATGCAAGGCAAAGCCACGGGTTTAGAAACTTTAGGTACCTGTTGTTAAAGGTTTAGGATAGAGTTGATGAAAACAAAGCATCCTTGGTAGAAGAAGGGTTTGTTATACGTTGTATTTTCATAAACCCATCGAAAGGATTCATGATCTGTACAGAATCATTCGAAAACATTTGGAAATTCTTTTGGTGAACGAAAGTGAAGAAGAAAACGTTCAGCCGCCCATTTTCTAAAAGAGAATGGAAAATACTTTATGTAATTGTTAAACTCACCCTCACCTTTATTAAATATACCTACTGTTACTTACAAACTAGTGGGTTATGTATCTTGTTTGTGATCTCTTAGATCTTCTAAAATAGATACAAAGACAAAGCCATCTGAAGAGATCTTTAGCAGGATCGAAACGCATCATGGTTGCTAGTCTCACCCACGCCCACCTGCTCACATCCATTGACTCCATACTCGCACCACAGTTTTTCTTCTCAGATCGGATTTTTCTTTTTTATCTTTTTCATTAGAAATCCATATTTTTCTATGATTTATTCCAATCCAGTACAAGCCTCGAAGGTCTGAGTTCTGTTACAAATTGTCTCACATAAATGACAATAATGATACCTGATATTTTTTTAATCATATTAATAGTAAAAGACAAAATTGTCAGGTTTGTCATATTTAAATTGCCACAGTCAATACGATGAATTTATAATGGTGCAATCATAATTGACACGACATAACACAAATGTAAGTAATCTTCTCCGCTTAGATTTCTAACATGCTTTTTTCTCATACCTTGGGATTGGAATAAGACATAATACTGATGTTAAACTACTTGCTGGTAATATATCTGTTCGTAACGATCATCGCAGCATTTCATTTATACGATACAGTTATACCGGACAACTATGACTACAAAGACTGTCTATATACAACCGTATTGAATACTAGCATAAATGAATGGCACTTGATACCCTATTGTATCCGACACACAGAGAATTCCAATAAAGATGAGATTCTTTGCCATGGTGACCAAACTTATACATTTGAACAATTGAAATCGAAGAATGTTGACAGTGATCTTCTATATAAGTGGAATGCACCGATTGACACAATTGATAATTATCAAAAATATCTCACGAGCAATGATTTGTCTCTTTTCAATGGTTATTTTTGTAATTGTTCAGGTAAAACATCAGTTTGTGTTACATTGTTTCTTTAAAAGTGTTGTTTTAGGAAACTGGTTTGGTGCCCAGTGTCAGTATTCGTACATCGAATCACATAGAACAGCAACACTTGACGATATAATCAATTTCCAGTTCAAAAGGAAACGACCACTAGACCAAAAGTTCGAAATCACAAAAGACATGTCGCTGCTAACATGTTATCAAGGTCTTCAATGTCATTCAGCAATTTGTCTCGATTGGCGACAGATTTGTGATGGTAATTTGAATTGTGAAAATGGAGAAGATGAGCCGAACGAGTGTCTACTCCTGGAAATAAACGAGTGTCAGGGAGATGAATATCGGTGTCGAACTGGACTATGTATTCCACAAGCATTTTTAATCGATTTTAGCTATGATTGCACGGATTTCAGTGACGAATCCAAAACGTATCGTGAGTGGACAGATCAATTATCTTGCTACTCAAAACCAGATCTTGCCTGCGACTCTTATTTGTGTTCTTCATGTGAATTACCGTGCGGTGATGAGCAATATACGTCTGGGGAGTTGAAGATTTCGTGTAATAATGGTCGTGATCTGTATTTTCGACAAGCTCTTCTTTCTCGTTTTTCGGCTGACAAAAACAATTCAAATGATATTGGTTTCGAATGTTGGTTTCTTATGTTATGTTCAACTGGTAAAAAGAATATAAATTTTTTTGGGTATGATGAAAAAGAATGTCAATGTGTTTCAGCAACTATGGAAGCGAAAAAATGTAGAACTTATTTTCAAAAACATTGTCCTAGGTCGTTTCAATTTCAAGCGCTCACAAATGTTCTCTATCCGTTCACTCGCTTTCTTTATTACAATATACCGACATATTCTTCTAAATGGTGGGAACCAACGCATATTTGTTTTAATCAAGATTATTGTTCGTTCTTTTCATCTAATGGATTGCCGCTAATTGATGGTTATTTGTGTATTAAAGCAGAGCGTATCGAAAAATCGATTTGGACACTGCAGAGTATTTTTTCAGCTTGTCATACAATTCCCATGTCGATGTTGATTAGTAACGAGCAATTATATTACTGTAATCAATCGATAAAGTACATTTCTAAACATCGCCTGGAAGACGATATTGTGGATTGCTTTTTTTCAGAAGATGAGCAAAACGATAGAAACTCGATGATTATATCAGCTCTTAATTCCGCCAATCGTTTCAAATGTGCCACAACCGGTGAATGGATTCCACGTCCTCTACTCGTTGACACCTCCTGTGAGGATCATTCGAATAAACTATTTATTGGTGATTGCAACACACCGTCTGATCTTGGTTGTCAGTTCTATCGTGGTGTTTATTTACCGCTTATTTACTATGTATTTCGAGAAAATTGTAATCGTCATATACAGTTATATTATGCAATCGAAGAGCAAATGGATGAAATGAATTGTGATGAAAAACCAATACGTCAATGTGATGGGTATTGGGATGCTACCAACGGAGAAGATGAACTTAACTGTCCAAACACAGTCTCATACTACATCAGACGAACAAGTTTGAAATGTGGTGAGAACGATCATTATTGCATGGACATGGATGGCATAATGGGTTGTTTGCCAAAGGAACGTGCAGGAGATAAGATTATCGATTGTTTGGGAGCGACAGATGAAAGGGGAAACATTTACAATTTTCCAACTAAGTCTTCCCAATTTTTTTGCTCAGCTTATAATGGTGATGATCCTAAAAGTATAAAAATACAACAGACCTGTAATAAAAAAGTTGATTGTCACTATTATGATGACGAAGTGATTTGTCCATGGATATACGATGCTGAATACAAGGGTTCCGATTTCATCTGCAAGAATGGAACATTTATTCGATGGAATTATAGATGCAATGACATCATCAACTGTATACCAGATGGTGAAGACGAATGGTTCTGTGATCTTGAAAATTTGCCGTCACTAAAGTTTGCTCTGTATAGAGTAGAAGAATATCCTTCTATAGATACTGTTCTACTGCCTATGGCGAATGTGTCTACTTATCATCTGTCGATAAAATCACTTGTTGATGACTTTGAATCCGTCAGTGCTAAACCAGTTGATGATTGGTTTTGCAATCGTGGTATTATAGTTACAAGACGACCGTCCAAAATTGAATGTTTTTGCCCGCCTAGCTATTATGGTTCGAGATGTGAATACCAGTCAGAGCGTATATTAATAACCATCCGAATGGACATAACCGCTCGCTTAAGTAGACATCAGAATCAGCAAAGTGTCATTGTATTGGTAGCTCGTTTAATTCTCGATGATACAGTCCTTCATCATGAGAAACTCCTACACCTCCATTTGATGAAACATGTTTTTTACCTAAATTACCCACGACCACCACCAAAAAAGCGTGGTAATTGGTCTGTTCGTCTTGATGTATTTTCAGCTACTATGTATAATGTGGCATTCAGAACAGCATGGTTGTTTGATGTCCCATTTTCTTTTCTGCCCGTCAATCGACTTGCCTTGCATCTTACATTGAAAGATCAAGACACTTGTAACAAACCTTTCTGCGTGCATGGTAGCTGTAGAAAATATTTGAATTCACCAAATCATGAATATTGTCAGTGTGATGACAATTGGTCAGGTACTCACTGTAATGTTTCAACAATATGTTTATGTGGTGGCGGTGGGAAATGTGTCGATGGACATTCGTCATCAATATGTGTCTGTCCGCTTGGTCGTATGGGCAAAGAATGTCAGGCGTACTTCAATCCCTGTAGAGATGTGAAATGCGAAAATGGTGGAACATGTCTTCCATTAGACGAACGACAATCCATAAAGTACAGTTGCTCTTGTCTTCACGGCTATTTTGGGTCTCATTGTGAACTAGTTGCTGCTCGAATTGACATTCATTTCTCAAAATCTCTCTTAAATCACGATCGTCTTCTGACAGCTGCTGTCTTCGTTCACTTTTTAGAATTAAACGACAAATCACCTGGCATTTTGTTTGTTCAAAATCGTCAGCTATACAAACAACTACAGCTAAACAAACCACTACGTATTTATAATAACGAACATAACTATCTATCAACTTTTATTTTACTACAAATCTTTGTCGAACCGGACAGCGTCGATTACTACATTGCAGCCATTATAAAAAGTAAACTAACCAACATCAGCACGACTATTCACAAGTTGAACCGATGTCCACATGTTGATCTATTGCTTCTGAATAAAACAATTCGTGAGTTTCCGTCGACTAAGAAAGTGAAATATTATGGTCGCGTATGCAACGTAAGCAGTACAATTAGTTGTTTTACAGATGAAGCTTTTCTCTGTTTCTGTGACAAAGATCGGCAACCAGACTGTCTCTTTTTCCAACGTGAATCGACACAATGCTCGACGAATTATTGTAAAAATAATGGTCGATGTATACAAAACAGTTTCAGTGGTGTGTGGGACTTTGGTTGTGTATGCAGTGGATGTTCGTATGGTTCACTATGTCAGTTGACAACATCACAATATTCACTTTCGCTAGATGTCATGCTCGGACAAGACATTCTTCAAAATACACCACTGACATATCAAGCATTTCCCATTAAATTGGTAATGGTAGTACTCATTCTGATGTTGTCACTTGGATTTGTGTTCAACACTCTATCTTTTGTCACATTTAAACAACCAAAAGTACAAGAATTCGGTTGTGGCATATATCTGTTTTGTTTGCCATTTGTTGGTCAGTTAGGATTGTTATTACTTACTGGTCGATTCTTCTACCTACTGCGAACGCAACTCTATAACGTTGATAACCGTTTAGCTGCTCGATGGAGTTGCATCGGTCTAGAGTATTTTTTGAATGTTTGTTTAATGTTGTTTGATTGGCTGACGGCATGTGTAGCTGTAGAACGAAGTGTCAACATGATAAAGGGTACCTGTTTCAACAAGTTCGACAGTGTATGGTGGGCGAAACGTATTATTCTTGTTCTTGGAATAAGTGTTTTGAGTAGCGCATGGTATGAACCATTCATTCGGCAAGTAATCGATGATCCTCGAACAGCAACGCTGCATACATGGTGTGTGGTGACATTCACATGGTCATGGCTCAAATATTATCGATTAGCTATAAATCTAATCAATTTGATCCTTCCCGGTACGATTAACTTGTTGACTACAGTATTTTTATTGCACAAATCAACACGAAGAAAACAAAGGTTTGTCAGAAAAAACAGCAAAATGAGTTACTTCATCTCATTCAAAAAACAAATTCTTCTATATGGCAGTCCATTTGGATTAGTTGTTCTTAGTTTGATGCGGTTGATTTTCTCATTTACATTGGTCTGTATTACTCATCAATGGCAAAAATATGTGTACCTCACTGCATATTTCTGTTCATTTGTTCCATTGATCTGCACATTTCCAATGTTTGTGCTACCAGCGAAGATTTACAAAGTAGAATTCAAGAAATTTGTGCAGCGAACAATCCAAAAATTCAGAATTACACATACTTAACAATTTTTCTGTTGTGCGAGTTTTTTTTCTTAATGATGCTTTACTTTGCTGTGGCTGCAATAAGTGACGCCTAAAAGCAAAAGTTACATCCTTCGTCGTCTCACTTTGCTTTTTTATCCCCACTTACAGTCACATCTAACCAATCTTATTAAAACTTTTCGGATCCAAGCCCGTATCGTCAGACAGATGGTGACACCCACACCAAGACCCACCCGAAATTAACTAAATAAAACTTGACAGCATTCGATTCCTTTTCTCAGTCAACAGTGACTTCAACAGAATTTCCATTATTTTGATAGAAAAGTATGCATCTACAGGTCGGTTCATAAGTTACCCGACACCTTTCTATTTCAAATGAATTTTAATAGAAACAAGATAGAGACCTGCGGTTTTCATCGTTAGAAAGAAGAAATAAAACTGTATACTTTCATCTAGTATTTAAGAGAGTCTCCACGAGCCTGTCGAGTATACCTGTCAGTCGCGAAAAATAGATTTTGTTAAGAGTTACATCATTCGATTCGGCATGAAAAACTGGGATGACGAAACTTTTTAAAACCTTATAAGTTATTTTGCTCTGGAGAAAATCAAGTTTTCCCAAGACCCAAACCTAAAAAAACCCGAAAATTGACCAATTTCAGCTTTTTATGTATAAAACCGTAAGTTTTCTTCGACTTTTTTTAACGAAATTTCATTCGAAAAAGCGCACAAAACTGAACAAAATTTGATATTTATAAATATTTTGAAGTTAAAATAGTAGTCGCAAAAAAATATTTTACTAAAATTTTGAGGTTTTGAAAAACTGACTTTGTTGTGGAAAAACCTGAATATTTTAAGCAACAAAATATAATAGAGTTTTGATATTATAATAGAGCGAACAATTCTGCACCTGATGCATTGTTTAAAAATGACAAAATCAATGCAACTCGGAACCAAAATGGTCCTACAATAGATAGAGCTGGAAATGACCAAAACACAGAAAATGCTTCAAATAATTTTTTTTTCGTCGTCAAACTATTTCCAATCGATTTTTCTGTCAAGTTAAGTATAGGAAAACCTTTTCCTCCGTCAATACGTTTTTTTCTGTGGAAAAATCAGATTTTTCAAACAGTCTTGCAGAAAAAGTCGAACAAATTGCTATTTTTCAGTCTTTTATCAATAAAATGGACAATTTTCATTCAAAGTTTTTGATCAATATCTCGTTCGAAAGAGCAGAAAAAACTGAACAATATCTGATATTCGGAAAAATCTTAGATTCAAAATAGTTAGTCAGAATAATGGATTTTCGCAAAGTATTATTACTATTGTTATTTAAAATTTGCTTGAACTTTAACCGAAAAAAATTCTAGATTGTGATTTGAGTTTTTCGAACAGCGATGCGATCCAATGTGTTGATATAAGTGATAAACAAATAGAAATAGAAACGATACATGAAGAATATTTGTTACTCGAAAGTCATTAGCAATGAATACAAATGATTTGCAACTATCGATTCTCCTGACGAACCTAAATGAACTCAATCTTCTGATTTTAAATCAGAAAGGTGTAAACGAAAATCTATTAAATTTCCTGTTAAAGTTTGTAAAAAACGTCTTATTTTTTGTCGTCTTCTTTGATAAACAAAATATGCATTGTCTATTACGTAACATCGACATGGAGTAAGATAAGCACCCATGGCATGTGGTATTACCATTTACACGCGAGACGGAGGCGATGTTTTTTGTACAGCTAATTGGTACAAAAGATGTAAAAAATGTTGAGTAACATTCATTGTATCTGTTGTTGTTCGTGTAAGTACATCAATAGTGCCAGCTGCTATAATTATATATTGCAATATAGGTACTTCATTATAAGATAACAATTTCAAATATAATCGACGTGCTGATGCGCCACCGATTGATTTTATATAAAAATTCAAATGAGGTAAGTGATATACTTGTTTAATTTTTGCCAACTTGTCCTCACTCTTGTAGACACGCTTTTTAGATAGCCCCAAAATCGACTTGTTGAACTGTTTGTACAACAGCTGTGTTTTCATAACGAATCAACGTTCAGAGCCAAGACACTTTTCATTTTGTAGAGAAGTGTTTAATCTACTTAATCTAGTTGCCATTTCAGATTAGTTTGTAGCCTTATTGCAATAACTTGAGCGGGGCACAAACCAAGTTCAGATTCGTCAGTCATCTGTGAAAATGGATGTTTCAAATTGAAAACGGTTTATTGCATAGTGATCTTGTCTCGTCACCTGTAATTTGAGCCTTTAATCTTTTACTTACTTAATTCATCCAACTGATAAAATCGTCGAACATCACGTTGAATGACTTTAAATAGTGAGTCGTCTATTGGTAATGATTTGGAAGCAATATTACTTAGGGCATACTAAAAGTATGGACAGTGACACTTTAATACCGTATAGTAGGCTTAAAGTAACTTTCGGACTTTTAAAGTGCTTCCGGATGGTACTTTAGAACAAAAGCATGCAACAAAAGTTGCTCAGAATCGAATTCTACATGATTTAAACGAGGGAATTTTGAAAATTTTGTTTTTAAAAGTTTAAATTTTCGTAAAACTTAGTTTCAAAATCGAGTTTTTAAAATTTTGAAAGTTCTCTTATTACCCGTAGAATTCGATTCTGAACAACTTTTGTAAGCGAAACGCTGTTCAAGGCTATCTCAAAAGTTCTTTTTGCACCACTGAGCAACTCGTCTTCATACATAATACAAATGTTTATTCATTTGATGCTCTTTTTTTTGAGTCAACAAGACAATAAAATTTGTTCAGGTTAAAAAAATATATAAGAAATACTTAATTTTTATTCTTGAAAGGAATTATGACGAGAATTCTTATGAATGGCAGATGCCTATTTTTGGCCCTTGTTGTGGCGTCCTCTCACAAACAGTTGCTAGTGACGCCAAAAGAAATATTGTGTTACCACACTTTGACATGGTCAACATTCCCTGAAAGTTTGGCTCAGGCCGGACCTACCTGAGCTGAGATAGGTTTCTGACCCGAGAGGTCTTAATCAAAAATTTGAGGATAGCATATGCTCTTTTATGGAGGAGAAAAATTTGCCTGTTAGCCATGGAGATCATTACCAATAAAAGCGACAAAAGAAACGGATTTTAAGCTCTTTTGTCAAGTACTTCACTTACGTTTTTCAGTGTAAGTTTCAATATTTCTTTGCTTAGGTGGACTACAACTCATCTCTAAACTCTCTTGGTCGAATAACTTTACTTCAGGCATACCAATATTGGGATTTTATAACTAGGATATTTCTTCAATATTTCATCGGTTATATTCATATTCACAAATTTTCGACGTAATTTTTATGTATTCAAAATTTTAAAAACTCGATTTTGAAACTAAGTTTTACGAAAATTTAAACTTTTAAAAACAAAATTTTCAAAATTCCCTCGTGTAAATCACGTAGAATTCGATTCTGAGCAACTTTTGTTGCAGGCTTTTGTTCTAAAGTACCATTCGGAAGCATAACGCTGTTCAAAGCGAACACCGTTTTTGAGCTTTGGACCTCCAGAAAATCGAGTATTCATTTTTTCCGTTT